GGGGCGGAGACCCCCCTTCCCTGTATTTGACTGGCCAGCGGCCCATCCACATCCGGTGGTAGGACAGGGAGGTGACGGAGAAGCAGGTGACCAAGGTTAAGGTGTAGAAGGTGGAGACGAAGACCTTGCAGAGCCCTTCGCTCCACTCATAGTCCGAGCGCTGCCGCCGGAGCTGGATCACGGCGTACATGGTGACGGGGATGGCGATGGTCAGGATGTGAGTCCCCGCCAGCGTGCAGATCAGGAATTCATCCGGTGGTAGGACAGGGAGGTGACGGAGAAGCAGGTGACCAAGGTTAAGGTGTAGAAGGTGGAGACGAAGACCTTGCAGAGCCCTTCGCTCCACTCATAGTCCGAGCGCTGCCGCCGGAGCTGGATCACGGCGTACATGGTGACGGGGATGGCGATGGTCAGGATGTGAGTCCCCGCCAGCGTGCAGATCAGGAATTCCAGGGGCTTCCATTTCTTCTGCTTGGCACTTACGCTCAGAATCCCCCAGGCGTTGGCTAGAACCGAGACCCCTGAGCAGACCAGCCAGGCGACCGCATTGTTGTGCAGGCTCTGATCATCATTCATGGTGGAGGGCGGGGGCACTGGCAGAGGAGGCAAGCGGGGTGACGTGCCGGGGAGGGAGGTAGAGACATCCTACAGCGGCGCGCAAGCCATCCAGGGCACCTTGGCAGGGGCGCGCCCGACACCCGACGACTCCGGAACCTGCGGGGAGACAGAAGGGGGTTAGGAGCCTCTCTCCTGGGGTCTGCTCTGGGCACCATGGACTTCAGCTCAGGCCTGCCATCCGCAGTGCGCAGAGCACCAGGACGGAGGGAGGCCCCGGGCAGGGCAGGGCACTGCGGCTCCCCATGTGGCTAACGCTGAGGGTTTCGACCCAGCACCCTCCCCCAGAACGAACGGCCCTTGCCTGGCCAGTGACAAGAAGCTGAGGGCAGGGGAAAGCCCAGGCAGAAATACCAGAGGGGAGGCTACTACGGAAAGCCCTGGCTCCAGGCTGCTGAGGGAGCCGCTCCGGCCAGTCGGCTTTCCCCACACGCCCCCCGGGAAGCACACAGGCTCCACGCGCCGACTCAGAACTGCCCCCCGGGCGAGCGACCGGGGGGGTCTGGCAGCGCCGGGCTCGCCACCTGCGTTTTGTCCACGCGAAGGCCGACGCGTCGGGATTCTCGGTGCCACGGCCCATTTGTCTGTCCCCTTCGCGGGCGTGCGGAGGCAGCAGCTGCCCAGCCGCTCCCGGTCCCCGGGCAGGGAGCTCTCGTGCGGACGTGCGCCCGCAGTGCCGTGTCCCACGAGGGGAGGGAGTAGCCGTCACGCTCTCCGCTGCTGCACAGCGCCAGGCAATTCCTCACGGACAGGGGGAGCAAAGGGCTTTCCTCGGACCCACCTCTGCTGGGTAGAGACTGGGCTGCACAGAGCTGTGTGTGGCTCGCAAGCGTCTCTCCCCCCGACTGGCCCAGAGATATGACCTCAGCCCTGGGCTCCTCACCCCTGCACGGGGGCCGGAACAGCGCTCACACGGTCACGGCTCACAGGGAGACAGTGTAACAGCCCCGCTGCAAAAGCCCCGCTGGGCGCCTCGCGGCATGGACAGGGCTCCCCACGGAGGGAGGGGGCCCGCCCCACGGCAGTGTCAGAGACGGCATAGAAAGGGCAGCAGGTGGTGACGGGGTGTGATGTAGTGTCCGTACCTTGCTGGTTGCTGTGCTCGGGCTGTGGGCGACCCCTACTGGCCTCTGTCTGTAAGCACGGCCCAGCGCAAAAGCCCCGCTGGGCGCCTCGCGGCATGGACAGGGCTCCCCACGGAGGGAGGGGGCCCGCCCCACGGCAGTGTCAGAGACGGCATAGAAAGGGCAGCAGGTGGTGACGGGGTGTGATGTAGTGTCCGTACCTTGCTGGTTGCTGTGCTCGGGCTGTGGGCGACCCCTACTGGCCTCTGTCTGTAAGCACGGCCCAGCGGGGGCGCCTTGAGGGCCCCATGACAGTGACCGGACCAGTCCGACGGGTTAAGGGAAGGGATGGAACAAAGGAAGGGAGTGTGGGGGGAAGGGTCAGTTTCTGGCTGGAACCATGAAGGGGACAGACTAAGGAGGGGGCTGGGATCTAGGGGCCCAAGGACCCATCTCAAGGGGTCTGCGGCATCCTGGCCCTGACTCCTGTAGCCACGTCACGTCTGTGCTGTATCCTGGAGAAGCAATAACCCCTCGGTTCGGCCAAGTCTGTTCTTGCTGCTACGGTGATGCAGGATCAGGGGGACCCGACGCGCCATCCCAAGCCCCGTCCCTCGACAGGTATGAACCGGTTGGGTCACTGACTACGTGCCCTGAGGTTCCTCAGGCGACCCCCGACTGGGCCGTGCTCACAGACACAGGCCAGTAGGGGTCACCCACAGCCCAAGCCTCGCGACCGGCGATGTCCCGACACTGTCTCACGGCAGGATTCAAGATGGGGGCGGACGCTGGATTCAGACAGAGGCAATGGCAGGCTAACGCCTCTGATCCCAACGCCCTGCTCCCTGCCCCACGAGGCTGAGTCGGGCCAGTGGGCTCCCCCCTCAGCTGGGGGTGTCCTGGTGGGAGGGGGGTGAGCGGCCAGGCCAAAGGAAGGAGGATTCTGGGGGAGCCAGGCGTTTCTAGGCACAGCCTGGAGATTCCCAGCCGCCCGGCCTCCAGGACAAAAAGAGCAGCTGTCTAGAGCACCCTCAGTCCCGCCGAACCCGGAGACAGTGACAGGCGTGTGTCTCAGGCCCCTTGCGGCACCCGGGGAACCAGCTGGCGTTTCCTTTCCCTAGGCCTGGACACACCCAGCGAGGCAGAAAGCCCAGCTGACCTGGGGAAGTGACTGGTCTTCGGCTTGGGAATAACCTGCATGTGGCCAGGGGCAAGCTACACACCAGCGCTGTCCCCAGGAGGGGCAGAGACCTGG